TCGAGTTCGTAGAAATGAAGTATAGCGATGAGAACTGAAGCTATAGCCATTGAAGTGATTTCTCCAAAGAGAGGGAGTCCCCAGCTATCACTTTGCTTAGAGACTCGAGAAGATCGGAGCATGTCTAGTTCTAGCAATAACCCAATCTTCCCGAGGCGCTGATAATTCAGTTCACTCGTTCGTAGTGACGAATCAAATCAAGCGGCCGGTTTGAAGTGAGAATGGTAGAAAAGAGGGGATGTGTGACGTGATATTTGAGATGACTGGGTTTGGTGCTGTAGTAGGAGGTGTATGAGATATGTGGTTGGTCATGAACGATGTCTACGGTTCTTCGGCTGAGACAAAGGCTAGCTAGGTACGATGTTTTATGAGCTAGGACATCATAGTCTAGGTATTCTAGCTATTGGTCTAATATTACAGCGCTAGTACTGGTAGAACCCGGCGTTGAAGGTCGTAAAAATAGGGTCGGCTTGAAAAAATGAATACACATATTTTTCGCAGCCTGTTGCTAGGCGTGCATGACACTACTGCTACGTTTGGCGCCATCAACGCGCCAACTTCAGTGAGCCAGCCATCATCTGATGCCATCGCGTCTGCAGCTACTCTTTCACGGGGCTTGTCTTTGCCTCTCACGCCGCCATCTGGAACAGCGCCTGCTCCCACAGCATCTTCATCGGGAAATGCTTCTACTCTGGCACCGTCCACGACTTCGGCACCCCTTGCGACTCCGGCACCATCCACGACTCCGGCACCCTCCACGACTCCCGCGCTCTCCACGACTCCGGCACCCTCCACGACTCCAGCGCCCTCCACGACTCCGGCCCCTTCCACGACTCCGGCGCCCTCCACGACTCCGGCGCCCTCCACGACTCCGGCCCCCTCCACGGCTCCAGTGCCCTCCACTGACCCAACGCCTTCGCCATCCACACCCTCCGCACAAAATCTTTCTACGCGCAAGGGTCCGAAAGGCAGTAAACATCTTCAGCCAAAGCCGAAGGGAAAGCCGGGCCGAAAGTCGACATGGCCAGCAAAGAAACTCGCATGGCTTGAGAGCCACCTCGCAGACTGTCTCGCATCGACGCGCCGCCAAGCCTTCTATGACCGCATGATCTACGTCTGGTTCAAGATTTTCGGACATGCACTCGAAGTCCGGGTAGATCCCGAAGACGAAATCGACGAAATCGCGGCGCTTTCGGTTCCAGATGAAGATATAGGAACGCTCACAATGGCTGAGAAGGAGGCAAGGGACAAGCAGAGGTCGAGTATTCGGCAGGTACGCTCCATTTTAAACTCTGCGGTCATTGCGACGGTATTTCTGATTTCTTCCGTGTCCTCTCCATGTACTCTAGATCATTTCAAATTGGTTCCGTGCACGTATGGCCCGGTGCGACAAGGTCGCCGACCCCAGTGCTGCTTTGTCGGAGTTCCTCGAGGGAAGCTCGCCTGCCTCCCAAGGTACAACACGCAAGCAGCCCATCCTCCATTACTACAGCAAGCGGTACTGGGAGACTAAGATTCTGTCTCGGTATCGGGCAATTCGAAGTCGAGCCGAGACGGAGTGGGAGGAACTCGTGGAGTCGGGCCAGGCAGAGGGACAGAAAGCTCCGGAGATCATCACAGCGATCATGCAGGCGGTCGCCGATGCCTGGGCAGCGGAGACTGATGAGTTCAGGGAGTCTTTGACTGCAGAGAGGGATGCAGAGGTCGCAGAGGCAAAGGAGGGGGCAAAGAAGGCTTGCGATACAGAGGATCTGATGGCGGTGGATGGAATCGGGGCGCGGACGCCAGAGCAATATCAAAAGTACGTTTGTTCTGTTTCCATCCTCTTTCTGTTCTCTGTTGAGTAATCGGGCGCTGCACAGATCTATCGACAACGCATCTATGCTGTTGCAACCGGTCGTTACTGCCATCTACGAGAAGATGGGCTTCGTCTCTACCATTGTCCTCGCCGGCCCCGTCCCTAATGAAGGCGGGAACATCAAGATTAGAGCGTAAGTTGGCTCCTCTAGCTTTTGTTTTTCTTCGCATAGAGCTCACTTCTAATCAACTCGAACAGTGTTACGCATGGCCGTACGGCGGATTTCAACCAGCAACTCTTCCATGAATGCATGTATGATGACTACATAGCGCACAGTCGCGCGATGCGTGTCTTTGCAGAAAAATGTTTTCGTAAGTCCCCTTTCCTGTTATGTTCCAACCTTTTCTCATTTTCTTTTCACTCGCCTACAGCTCAGTCTGTCCGTGACGCCCGAGCGTTGAAGCCCGAGGAACCCAAAGCGCCAATGACATCGCCCGAGACCAGTACATCGACCTCGCCAACTCATACCAACACGATCGTCCCCGAAGTCGATGCGACATTCGAGCCTACCCCAACCTCGCCTCCCTCGGAAGGTACGTCTGCTGCACGTCCGGCTTCTCCTCCGGCTAGCAGCAAGGACGACCCAGCCGCCACTGTGGCCCCTGCGTTCCCGATAACTGCTACGTCTCTCCCTTCCGAGCCCACCTCTGCATGGCGGAGCAACCGTGTCCCGCGACCCAGGCCGATTCACAAGCCACAAGCGCATCCTACGGAGCCAACGGATCTCACGCCCCCAGCTCCCAATTTCTGGGTTCCCGACACTGCTCCTAGCCAGACCGGTCCACCGAGTAAATGGGAGACGGCGTTGCCGTACGGTCCAGATTTCGACCCGAGGAACCCAAATGTTATGCAGGTAGAGAACTCGATGCACGAACGTTACGGCCCAGAGCTCCCCACCCCCGATAATACTCGCCTTCCGAGTGCCCCCGCCGCTTTTGCTATCGACCCTCAGCTCCTGGACATGGACGGTGATGTACAGCCAAGAGCAGCTCCCGCCCCTATCGATACAAGTTCTCCGACACATGGTGCTCCCCCTGTTTCAACTCCCGAACCTCGTCCTGACGCCCCTTCTCCGCCTACGACAGTTGTTCGCTCCGGCTCAAGTCCTAGCGAACCTTCTCACCGAACCCCTCTCGAAACCCTTCCCGCACCTGCATCTGCATCTGCACCCCGTCCTCAGGCAACCACTGCAGAACCTCGTGCATCCGCACGCCCTGACCAATCGTCCATTAAGCGGCTGAAGACCAACGTGAAGGAGAAGGAGCTCAGCCCAAAGATGGAGAAATATTACAGGATGTTTACGGACGGGCACAAGCAGGGAGGCCGATGGGTGCAGTGTATAGAGGCGTTTGTCGCGGTCGAGGTAGTTGACGGACAACCTGTGCGTTTTCTCTCCAGTGCATGTCATTCGCTCATAAGCTAATTCACTGTCTCCTTCAGGTTGATAAGAATGGGACACGATTTTCATGCCATGACAGGCCCGAGCAACTTTCCGCATGGATCAGAGCTGGCAGAATCATAGAAGACTTCAGTATCGACAACCTCGCGGCATGGAGAGCGAAGTGGTGGAGCTGGTGGCAGAGCCTGGTGCCCGGGAGAGAGGTTCGAAGAGGTAATCCGACTGGTTCCATGAACGAGCCGACATTTTCATGGAATTGTCTGAATGTCACGACAAGCTGCGGTGTTTTATTGGTCATGGTGTCCCTTTCGTGCTGGGGAGCATCGGCAATGGTAGCGAGCGGTGCAGAGGTCGAGGAGTGGTTGATGGCTGTGGCGGAGGTTGAGTTTGCTCTGTCTGAGCTATCAAAGCTCAAGGAGGCTGCTGCTGAGAAAGAGAATGCTGCTGTGGATGAGGATGATGGAGGTGAGGATGATGAGGACCGTGAGGATGACGAGGAGGTCCAAGATGTGGCCCAATCAGCTTCTCCTGTGAGGGGGAAGCGTAAAAGGCGGTGAGTTTTTCTCTATCGGTGTTTATGATGTTTCAACTTCTAATGTTTACTTTAAGGGATGGAATCACCCCTCTAAGCCCTACCAAGCCCTCACACGGAACCCGTCGTCGGGCAAACAAAAAACAACGTAGGTAATGGTGCCACATCCAGGTGCCACATTCAGGTGCCACATCGATGTATATTTCATGCTAGTGATATGTTTCCCTCATCCTCTGCTTTGTCCATTGTCTTTTGCTTTCCGACTGCTTGTTCTGCTGTCCCTTGCTATGCCCATTCTCATTTGCTTTCAATGGTTTTTTCCATGTCATTTATCCTAATTTTTCTGTATATTTGCTCCCTGTATATAGCCCAAGGCTGTTCTAATCCTAGAACAGCAACCTATTGTTCATGCGGATCAAGCTTTCATAACAGTGTGGATGGTTATTGAATAGAAAAATATGGGCAGTGCCCCGAGCTACGGATGGGGAGGTATACTGTGTATTACAAAGCAAGCCCCATATTGGGATATTGGGAGCTGCCAGCGCTCTGGAGCTGGCCCAATATGGGCATGCAGCCAGGAAATAAAATTATTATTAGCAATGGCAGTAGAGAAGTCCATATATGGAAAGGAAATCAAGCCCTGCAAGCAAAGAACACTGGAGAGCGCTCATTATAATGAGGATGGCTGACTGCACAGAGAGATGCTCATTATAATGAGAGGGCCAACGCAATTAGCGCGACTCTTTACAATGCGATCTGAGGGAAGTATCGTCTCTCATTATAATGACCCCACATGTACTGGTGTTCAACGCTCTCCTGCGTAAGTCCCGTTTACCGTGCGTATCGATCTGACACCCTCAGGCTAACAACATAACCTTGTAGTACCCTAAGCATGCATACATATGACGGTTCGTACTATGCATTTACTAGTAATACCCAAAGACGTGTCTGATAGTTTGGCCCTTATACTCGTAGGTACTCGATATCAACGGCAGGTGTGCGTCACCTTCGAGATTCGCCACGGATCCACCGGTGGTGACAAGGCAAAAGGCAGATGAACGTATCTCTGGTACGTATCTCCCGTCTTCATCCCCTCGTTCCGCAGTTCTTTTTCGAGTGCGTATGTTGACGAACGTCTGCGGTTTACAGAGGGTGGAAAGACCGATATCACGGCATCACCAACGTGTTCATGTTCTTCGCCTCCGTCTTCTTCGCCCCCCATCTTCGTT